ATACCAGAGATTTTTGCCCCGGCTTAGAAGATGCTGTGGCTTTTCCGCAAAGACACAGAAAAGGGAGCCCCGGGACACCCCCCAGAAAATACTAAGGGGACTTGCTGCCTGAGCTGTCTTCCCCAGATTGCGCCGAGGCGTCCAGTTGATTCTTCTGTTTTTCAGACACAGAGAGAGGAGAAATAGGAGAAAGCACGATGAAGAAAGCACGCCGATGGCTTTCGTTCCAGTGACTCTGGAAGTGATGGCCTATGGCTGAACGCACTGCCTAAGAAAACGCCCCAGGCACGGCACTCAACCTGGGGGGATGATTCCAGTTGCAATGAACCTTCCCGGTGTGGCCACACAGGGCCGTTCCCATTTGAGCCGGGCGTGTGGGTTGTTCCCACGAAGTGTGTGAGTCATGCCTGAGCACACGGACCTGATATTTTCCCCCAGCCAAATTGCCAAAGGATTCATTTTCTATAAAAGACATTTGATGCCGGTGTTGAAACAAGGAATGCATCTTGGGCTTGCCCGCGCCGGTTCTAACCCGCGGCTCCCTGGGTTGCTGGTGCTGATTGGAATTTCATCCCTTCCTCCTTCCTCTCTGTTGAGACAGCCTGTTTGATTTAAACGCACCTTGAATGATCGCAGCTTTAATTTCAAATCCAGAATTAGGATGCGCGTACCCAGACCGTGGGTTCAGTTCTGCCTAGGGTTAGATACCTTTCCCCACTGCTTGATAAATAATGGAAGTTATGATTAATGAGAATTAATAACAGCAGCTCTCAGCAGTTAGCTTCACGCCGACTCCATTTTATTGGCTGTGACAGGTGGGGTGGGGTTGGAGGATCTGGTTTCTGCCGTCATTTCCTATTTACAGATGTAGAGGGCCAAACACAATCCTGTGAGCCCGGTTACATCAGCACCGATAAGATAACTGAAAGGGATTGGCTCTGAAGCGCGTGTGCCGAGAGCCCGGAGCCCAAGAACAAAGAAGCCGGCGGGCAGGCCTGAGCGCTAGAAGCCAGGGTTTGGTCCAGTGTTGGCTCCCCAGGCCCCGTTCTGCTGGTGGTCTCCACAGAAGAGGTTTCTAATTCTAAAACCCGCTCTGCGCGTGAGCCAGGTTCATGGGCAAGTGGCTCGTGCCCTTCCCACCAGAGGCGGTGAGGAGCACGCAGAGGGGCGCTGGGAACAGGCAGAAAACTTGCGCGGCTGTTGTGGAGTTTGATCATACACCTGGTGCTGAGGAGATCAAAGCGCTTCGAATTCCGTTCTCCCGTGTGTGCGCGGGGTGGGTGGTTCAGCTGCTCTGTCTGTCTTCCCTCCCTGTCCCTAGGACTTCTCAGACGAGCTCCTTCGTGGTGGTGTGGCCAGGATCAAACGAGTTAAGAACATGTACTCAGTTATCCACTGTGAATACTGAACCCCTTTGTAAAATTTCTTTTTTTTTTTTCCGGTACTGGGGATCGAACTCGGGTCCTTGTGCTTGTGAGCCAGGTGACGACAGAACCACTGAGCTAAATCCCGGCCCTTGAACCCCTTTCTATAAGCAGATGCAGAGACATGCAGAGGAGGAGCTCCCAGGAGACGTAGTAACTTGCAAGGCCAACAGCGAATCTTCGAAGCACATGAAGGGTGGATGAATTCCACAATGTACTCCATCTGCACGTATGTGCAGGACACAGGGAATCCCATTCATATGAACGTTTAATATGTGTTCATTTAAAAAAACATAAAAACAAAAGACATGGAGCCAGCTAGATCTTTAAAAAAACAAACCACTTGTCAACTACCACAGTGGTTTTGAATTCAGTGTGTACACCAAAGCTGGGACTTCAGTTCAGATCTGGACTCCAGGGTCCTGTCTGCAGAGGAGTTATTGCAGGAGGTCTGGGGCTTGGACCAAGGCTGCACTGTACGAGCTCCTCAGGGAGTGTGGTGGCAGGTGGTGGCCGGGTGGCGCTAGGGTGGAGGGAAGTCACCTAAGGGGTGGCCACTTGCTGAGCTCTTGGGGAAAAGTAAAGGCAGCCATACTAGAATGTTCCCTGAGCACTAAGGATGCGGGGGGAGCTGGGTCCGGGCAGCTACGGGGAGAAAGTAGCATGGCTACCCCTGCATCCTGGACAGTTTACGTCTGCTGTGGATGACACAGTATTAGGTAGAGTCAAAATAAAGACAGACGGAGCTACAGAAAATGTACCTGAACTCTCTCCCTTGTTTAGAAATGCAGCGATGGGCCCTTACAGTGAGAAGCAGAGGTGAGATTTAGACGTGCCCGCCCAAGCTGTGCGGCTAGGTTCCTGGCTGTCCTCGGAGCTGTGCTGAAGTTAGACTTGTGTGGATTCCTCTCCTCTCTGCACCTCCATGAGCCCTGCTACTCCAGCTGCCGACCAGTGTGCTGAGCTCAGGAGGAAGAAGCTCTCACTCCCTGTGGCGGGAGAGGACACTCAGCTTCCTAGTGAAATCCGGGCTCCGTGTTGCCTGTAAAAGGCCTGACCACTCATATACAAGGCCCTGCGGGTGGCTTTACATTCTCTCATACAAAGACCATTTTGTGTTTTTGCTTTTTTGGTACTGGGGATCGAACTCGGGTCCTTGTGCTTGTGAGGCAGGTGGTGGAACCACTGAACTAAACCCCCGGCCCCAAAGAAGACCATTTTGGGGGGAAAAAAACCTGTAAAGTGTTGGGTGGTGAAATTCCCTCTCTACCATGCGGTTCATAGCAACTCATTTTTATCACAGCAGGCATGGGGATTCTATGCACTGGCTTTGAGGAAGATGTCTTATTTCTGAGATGAATTGAGAGCACAGAGAGCAACAGCCTGAGGCCACTGATGCCCCTGGACTCTAAATCTACTTGGAAGCAGGAGCTCAGAACAGGCCGAGCTGCTGTGCTCTCTCACTGATTGGTTTTCTGGTCAGTGTTGGTGGCATATATAGGGGCCCTTCCAGCCCAGAACTGAATCACACAGGAAGCAAAAAGTATGTGGGACACGATATATGTCTGGCTTTTAATTTAGAGAATAAAACCAGGTGTGATGATGACTCACACCTGTAATACCTGTAAGCCTCTGGGAGGCTGAGACAGGAGGATCGCAAGTTCAAGTTCAGACTGGGCAAGAAGACCTTATCTCAAAATAAAAAGAAAAAAATAAAAAGGGGCTGGGAATGTAACTCAGTGCAAAGTTCTCAGGTTCAGTCCCCAATACTGAAAAATATTAGGGGATATTAGACTCTGTAAGACCCAGAGTCCGTCACTACTTCATCTAATCTCTCCAGGCACAGGCCAGGCAGGGCTTGCGTACGAAGTCCCTCTGACATTCAAGCCACACACGCAGTTGTGCTGTGACGCCAGCCCAAGCTTTGTGAGTTCGAGTCCTGTGCCTTTTCCCCATATTTTCCACCCTGTGGCCTGAAACAGTGTCGTTTACGTGCTCACCAAAAGCATCCTCTCCATTTAGATGAGAGAAACGGTGGGCAGGAAGGAGATCATGCTGGGCATGCCGCACTCCCCTGGGTCGTCGTCAGCATCATTTGCTGAGCTGCAAGGTCGAAAATGTGGGTCTCCTCTGGGCATCAGGCACGGACTGGTATCTGATCCACACCCCCAAAACCCAGAAATGCTCCACTGAGTAGAGCTGAGGGAGTGACGCGTGCAGAAATTGCTCCCCACAAAGCCAAACACAATTTGGTCTCCCAAATCGCGACTCGAGAATGCAGTTTATGGAGAAAGCACTTTAAAGCGAGAGAATAGTGACAAAATCGGATCCCCGGCTGCAGCTAAAAGTGAAGATCAGATAGCGCTCGAGTAGCACTTTGCAGCGTACAAAGCAGTGTGAAGGGCCCAGGGCTCTCACGGGCGCCCCCTGGAGGCGGGCGTGATCCTCATTCCGCACAGACCGGGGAAACTCGTTTTACTGGTGCCTCCCAAGTTCTGGGCGGGGTCACGGTTGGGAAGGGACAAGTTTCGGATATCAGGTCTTTGGACTCCACATTCTGTGTTGGGTTTGGAATTATTTACTAGAACACGCAGAGATGCCCAGTGGTTTTCGTAGGAATGACTTTGACAGTGTGGGGTGCACTGGCTGGTACCGGGGCTGCCCTTGTGCTTGTGCTTTTCATCATTGCTTTTCTGCAGTTTGTGTGTATCAGGGCCATTTCTCTCCGATGGAGAGATTGAAGCAGGAGGCTAAGCTACTTTTTCATTGTCAACCATCAGGGGTTTTGTCTTGCGAAGAATTCCGGCTACGTGTCCCTTGTCACGTGTGACACCAAGCTCCCATTCCCTAAAGAATAGAAAGAGAAATAGCAAACATTTCATGAAATGACCAGTTTCTTCAAAGATGCTTCGAAGAAATAGCTAGAATCACTCCCCGGAACGATTCCTGATCCTGCTAGAGAATACATGGAGAAGATTCATGGAGTTTTAGAGAGCAACGGGCATTTTCAGAAATGCCTTGGGGGAAGGAGAGCACGCTGGGCTAGAGAAACCAGAATTGAGGCAACGGGGTTGAGTGGCTGTTCGAGGAAACTAGACACCGAGAGTCTTTCCCCTTATTTGTCCTGTCCTGCTGGAGGCTTCCTTCTGTATTCAAAGAAGGAGGCGCAAAGAGAAGCATGTAGCTTTTCACCTTTAGGTGCCAATGGCCCCAAACAATTCTGGAACTTGTTTGACCGGCTGAGGGAGGCCCGCAAGTAAACAAGGGCTGAGTAAACAAAGGAAACCCTGCCGTCTGCGTCTGTCACCAGGGGAGCCACACGAGGTAGGCCACTCACCGGTCAGTGCCCGTCCTCAGATATAGGCAGGGTGTCCTTCCAAAGTAAGTGCAGTTCATTAGCAAGCTGGCAACAGCGACTTAGGGGAGGCGTGGATAAGAGAAATTCTGTGTAGCGGTGGGGACCCACTGTAGTAGTAAGAAACTAGGTACCTGACGGGCCCGGGGGTTAAACCTTTCTGGCAGTAGCATGCATTGGCCTCTTTCATTAATGTGGGTCATGTCCATCACCTTGGGACGTCAGACTTTGGCAGGCCGCGTGATGTAGCAAGGCTGCACGTGCTCGGAAGACGAGACGACCTTCCCGTCCTTGATCTCCTTGGTGATGGTGCATATTTTAACCAGGATCCGGGGCAGGGGGCCACAGGTCTTGGGGGTCCCAGTGAGGGCCGAGGATGCATACACAAGGGCCGGGCACTCCCGGGCTCTGGCCTTGCTGGTCACCCGGACGGAAGGCTCGGATTGGGTGGTGCATGGGTTCCAAGGCAGCCTAAGGAAAAGACAGGATTTTGTGTGTGATGGAAGGGACGCAGCGATGATGGCAACAGAGAAGATGGCGCGGGCGAAGTTGTCGACATTGCCCTTCGGAGTACGTGCCGCCCGTGCTTATTTGCTCACTTAGAACCGAAGCAAGCCGAGGGAAAAGAATCAGGCCGAGTCCCCGGAAAACAGGAATCTAAGCTGAGAAGCGGTATGCTAGGCGAATCCTCAGCTCAGCCCATCCAGAGCGCCATGGGGAGGGCGGGCGTGTCCAGCAAAGCCTGGGCTGGGGTCCAGCTGCAGAGGGGACACAGCAGGAGCCACTCTTGGGATCAACAGCGATGAGGGCCTAGCTAAGGGGCTCCCCATCCGAGTGTGGACATTAGTCAGGTAGTCTTCTGTGTGGGGGGGAAGTAAACTAGTGTAGACCCTGAGGAAGTCCGTATGGCGAGTCCTCTGAAAACCACAGCTACAGACTCCATTTGACCCACCTGTTCCCCTTCTAAGTACCTTCCCCCGCAAGGTAAAGACATCGTAGTACAGTGACACACAGTCCCATATTTATAGCAGCACAATCCCTAACAGCTAAATTGTGGAGGCAGCCCATATGTCTATGGACAGATGAAGAAAATGTGTTGGCACACAGTGACGTGCTGCCATATCCCACTGAACGGACTGCAGAGATGCCATAAAGAGAGAGAAGCGAGAGAGAAACTTGAGCTGTTTGTAGAAAAATGGATGCGTCCTGCGACCATGATGTTAAGTGAAATGAATCAGACACAAGCTTAAATATCTCATGGTTTCTCTTACGTGAGAAACCAAACTATAAAGAGCAACGTAAAAGCTAGATAATAGGGAAGTAGGGGGAGAGAGATTTTTTTTTTTTCTTAGGTGGGAAAGAAATCAAGAGATGGAGCGGTTGGGCCGGGGACGTAGCTCAGTGGCACTTCGCCTGCCTTGCAAGCACAAGGTCCTGAGTTTGATCCCCGATAT